CAATTAATTTTGTGAATAAAATATTATTGTTTTTAAAAAGACCATATAATTGTTATATTGTAACTGAAAGAGCCTTTATTTATAAATAATGTGAAGAATGAAATATATCTAATACTTGTTTGCAGCCCATTGTTTGTAACCTGGACTATTGGAAAAGATATGAGGTTAAGAGGCTGTATCGGTACGTTTAATGCAATGCAGTTACATGCTGGTCTTAGAGAATATGCAACAACCAGGTAAATTTATTTTGTTATCATATTAAACAATGTTATTATTTTATAATTTTAAAGACATTAGATACTTTTCAAAGCGCATTCAAAGATTCACGCTTTAATCCCATCACACGAGAAGAACTGCCACGCTTACATGTTAGTGTTTCCATCCTGAGACACTTTGAGGATGGTATTGATTATTTAGATTGGGAAGTAGGTGTCCATGGAATTCGTATAGAGTTCCATAATGAGAAGGGTAACAAACGGACTGCTACCTATTTACCTGATGTTGCAACAGAACAAGGTTTGTGTATTTTATTTCTCTTTTACTTTTGTTTTACTTTTGTTTTATTATTGTTTTAAAAGTCAGAATTTATCTTGTTTAGGATGGGATCAGATACAAACAATAGATTCATTGTTACATAAAGGTGGTTACAAAGGACTGGTCACCCCAGATATTAGACGTAGTGTAAAGTTAACACGATATCAGAGTGAGAAAGTTACTGTAAGCTATCAAGATTACATGACACATTGGCATAGTCGAAGATGCTAGCAGCTGGCTTGGGGTCCTAGTCAAGGATCCCAATTACCACAAAATTCTATTGCTGTTCACTACAATGCTAATACATCTCATACTTCTCATCTCTTATATAACAGTACTCAATACAATTCTTATATGGCCAGTCAGGAACATGGGTTAGTAATGACACAACGTAATCATCCTGCATTTATACATCCCCTTCCAATGCCTCCCATTTCTCCTGTCATGGTTCCTATATGGGATTATTCATCATTTTGGTGGGATCAAACAAGTTCACCTTATCCTCCTCCACATCCACATCTTCATCCCCCACCCCGTGTTCATCGTTTTTCGTCACAAGAACCTGCTGATAGTGGAGTTCGTAAACGAAAATGACATTGGAGGCGGCTATTGTTTGCAATGTTTTATTGTTTGAAATGGTGCCTATTATACTTTGTATGTTTTTGCATACACAGTTTTCCCCTTATGATACCACATAGTCCTCCATGAGGACAATAGCATTTTATGTATGATGGCACTGTCTCATTTCCTTACGTTACATCGTGTATAGTTAAACTCATTATTTGTCTCATAATTGGTATAAATAATCGTAAAAAAGATATATATACAAATATACGAAAAGTACATTTACTTTTAACTTCAATATTTATAATTACCGACGAAACTACATGTCAAATATTCAGATTTTAAAACTTGTACTATAATATAATTACCTATTCTCACGTGCTTAAGTGCGTTCATAAATTAAAGAACATGATTCAGTTCACAAATAGAATATACATAACATGTAATTAGCTCTGCCATCATACTTGGATGTCCATTTATATTAATGTCTGCAGTATACGAGTGACATGAACAACTTTATAGCACAGTGATGCTGCCTGCAATTCACTGCCTGCTTCACAAGATTTAATGTACAAATTCACGTGAAAATATGTTTCTATTCGTATAATATAAAAAATATAGAATATCATTCTTAGATAAGTGCATAAGTGAAGAATGAAAAATACAAAGTTTTTTATTAATATTATTT